TTCCTGGGTGGTTTGCTTCTCCTTTTTTTTTTTTTTTCACGTTTTTTTTTTTTTTGTTTTTTTTTTCAGTCTACCCAATTATTTTGAAAAGTGTTATTGTTGTACTTGACATGTCATGTTTGACGGAGAGTTGTGCGTTGATGGGCACCCACAATTGTATTCCATTGAAACAAAACAGCAACAACAAAAAACGATAATAATTTATAACCGCAGGCAATCGTTCCGCCCTCTTACCTTTTTTTTTTTTTTTTTTCACCGTTTGTTTATTTGGTTTTTGCATGTTCGTTTCATTTGTTTGTTACATATTTGAAAGAAGTAGATATATTTATATATAAATTTGTTGGGTATGTGACGGCTGTTTTTTTTTTTTTTTTTTTCTTTGAGGAGGGCGGGCCGTGTGTTGAATTTCCGGTGTGTTTCCTCCTCTGCTGCCGATTCATCTCTTTTCCGTCTCCCTCCACGAATTACCGCCAGCTGATTGGTCACTCCGACTCCTACCCCTTACGTGGGGAGTCCTTGGCGAGGCGGAGGTTAGACGGGGAGAAAAGGAAAGAGGTTGGAGGGGGAGCCATGAGAGGGACGCGATGGAAGAAGGAAAGAAGAAATTGTGTGTTGTTCGTTTTTTTTGTGTGTGCGTTGTTTGTTGCGACCGTCAGTTTTTAATTGCTCTGTAGTGAGACCCCTTCAAGTGTGTACCACGTGAGGAATGTGTGGGCACGACTTGAACGCCCTCTTCTCTGGGCCGCCTACTGTTGCGGTCGCCACCACAGACACGGGGATCCCGGCAATGCCGGCCGCCTCAGCCTGGCGCCAGGGTCAGTTGCCCCCTATTTTCGGGGGAGGCCAGGAGCCAGCAATGTTTTCCTCACGGGGTCATTGTTGTTGGCGCGGGCTGACGGCATTCGACCAGCGGCGTATTGCCAGGGCACAGTTTTGACACCATGAGATCTGCGTGCGTGCGTTACATGGCATGCGGGCCGTCAGCATTAGGGACACGGGACAATTCAGCGCAGGAAAGCCGAAGGCAGCGACAGCAAGGCAAGGGAAAACGAAGGCGGAGCAAGCACTCGGGTATGAAAAACGATAAAAGTAAGGGGGCGTTCGAAATCGCAAACGAACACTTTTTTTTGTTATTGGTGATGTTCTCCTTTTTCCTTTTTTTTTTTTTTCCTCGGGGACTTGACAGGTGTCGATCAGGGGCGTTGGCTCTACTTTCCCTCGCTGCATCCATCCAAAAGGGACGCTGTCACGCTGCGGCAGCAGGAGGGCCGCACGGCCAAAGAGAGACGATGTTCCGGTGGGAAGAAAAGGCACGTGCCAGACCGTCCTGGTGCGCTCATGCGGCGGTCGCGCCCAGGGAAAAGAGGAGAGAGAAAAAAAATCCCACATCTGCTCTCTTGGTGAGTATGCACCGTTGGTGTGCTGTGAAAAAGGGGGGAGTATATAAAAAAGAGGGGAAAAGAAAAAGAGGAAGAGAAAACCCGCAACGCATATGACCGAATGCAACAGCTCCACGAAAAAAAAGGGAGTTTTTTTCTTTTTTTTCTTTTTCTACCTGCGTATATGTGCCCGCATGTCGTTTTGTTTGGGCTGGAGCCACGTAAGTGTTGCATCCAACATTTCCCGTGTATCTTCTTTCCCCCCACATTTGCCATGGATAGCGTCCTAAGTTTATATTTATATTTATTAGTATATACACATACCTTTTTTTTTTTTTTTGGTTTTTGCTTCTTTTTTTTTTTAAATTTCATTCCGTCGTTCTATATTTTGATTTATTATCAATATTGTTTCTTTTTCTTTGTGTGCTTTTCCGTCAGCAGTAATTACCCACCCGCAGCGTTTTTTTTTTTTTTTTTTTTTTAGCGCAGGTGCAATTCTTGTGTGTGCATGGGATGCAAAAAAGGTGCGGTGCGATGCGGGGAGGACGGGACGTGACAAAAAAAAAAAAAAAAGAAGCCTGCAGTTTTCACTTGCGCACTTCGCCCTTCCCCCTCCCAACGAAACACGCATTGGTGCTGCAAACGGTTTGTTTGCCCCCTTTTTTTGGCTAGCGTGTGTGTGTGTGTGTGGTGGCACGTTTCCCGCACAGCCGTGGCTGAGGTCCCTTCCAATTCAAATGTTTGCTTGCAGAGAGAAAACTCGGAGGCCACAAGAAACCAAATATAACCAGAGAGCGGAGAAGTTAAGAGGAAAAAAAAAGGGGGGGGAAGCGGGGAAAGGGGGGAAAGAGGGATAATAATGAGGGCATAATTGTCTCAATCGGCTACAGTCCGGCACGTACAGGAAGAAGCGTGCAGGAGGATAGGTTATAATGCTTGTTGCTTAAGACTCCCAAAACGTTCACAGTGGACACATTTTATTTAAATGAATCCCGCATGAAGTGTTTGCTCACAAATAATAATAACATTGAAAACGGAAAACAAAAAAAACGATGAAAGGAAGAAAAAAAATTGTATGGATTAGCCCTATTTTCGCCACCTCCATAAGAAAACAGTAACAAAAAAAAAGGAAAAAAACAGTGTTATGACGAGAATTTACAAACAAGTCTACAACCATAAATGCTAAACGCGGACCCGTTGGATGCTGCACCTGGTGCTGTATCTCATCTTTCTTTCTTATTGACTTTTTATCTCGTGCCGTGTGCTGTCCGCTCACTGCTCCTCCTGCCCCTTCCCTGTGTTTTGTCTTTGTGTTTGGTGAAGATCCTGCTGAGAGTGCACGAAAGGAATTTAAGAACGCAAAACATGTCTGACGCTGCCGTTCCGCCCAAGAAGGCCTCGCCGAAGAAGGCCGCGCCGAAGAAGGCAGTGGCTAAGAGGACTGCCGCCAAGAAGACTGCTAGGAAACCAGCCGTGAAGAAGCCTGCTGCGAAGAAGAGGGCCGCCCCCAAGAAGAAGCCTGCAGCAGCCAAGAAGGCTGTTACCAAGAGTGCCAAGAAGCATGCGGCAAAGAAGGCACCCAAGAAAGCCGTGAAGAAGGCGCCGAAGAAGTAGGGATTTATTTTGGCTCAACCGTGCGTTCTCGCGATCCGTGTCGCTGGCGCACCTGGTAGATAACGATATGAACTTGTCACCGGTGGAGACGACGTCATGCCCGTTTTTCCATTACTAGAACTCTTGTTTCGTTTTTATTTTTGTTTGTTTTTGTTTCTCATCCCCAGTGCTGGGGGCTGCAGCAGCCCTTCTTCCGTGTGTGCATTCGCGACGGTGTTATGACTAAGTTTTTGAAAGTTTTTTTTTTTTTTTTTTTTTTTTTTTTGGCTGGTCGACGTTCTTTCTGCTTTTGTTGTTTTTATCTGTTTTCTATCTGAATGTTTTTTTTTTTTCTGTTTTTTTGTGACGTAGGGAAGGGAGGGGGTGGTGTTATGAGGGTTTCTTTGTTATGTGGGTTCAGTCACGCTTGTTATGTAGGGTTAGCAAAGATAATTTACTGAGTTTCTACTATCGTTGCGTGAAGTTTGTTCCACATCCGCTGAAGCAGGAGAGTGGGGGTGAGGACGCCTTTCTCTCTCTCGTTGGCGTGCAGGCGGTGTTAGATGGGGTGAGCTGGTGGAAAGAAAATACTGCTGTGGATGCGGGGTTGTATAGTGCGGCTCTTGCTCGAGCGATGTACAATTACGTTGAGGAGGAGTTGTTGGGGGATAATCCTTCTTCTTCGTTAGCATTGCTGCAGAAGGCTTACGATGCATGTAAGGCTGAAGAGATTGAGGGTACGTCAACGGCATTGGTGGCGACACTTCAGCCCCCAACTGAGGAGGAGGTTGCTTTAATGGGTTTGGAGGACAGACACAAGAACTGTATTTTAGATATTTGTAGTGTGGGGGATTGCACGGCATTGATAGTTCGAAGAGGCAGGATTGTTTTTATAACTGAGGAACAAACTCATGACTTGGATTTTCCGTATCAATTGGGCCAGGGGAGCAGTGACACACCTTGCCGGGGCTTGAAGTACCGTTTCCCCGTTGAGTGTGGCGATGTACTCTTTTTGGGTAGTGATGGTGTTTTTGATAATCTTTTTCCACATCGCGTTGCGGAGTTGATGTGGAAATTGCTGAATAATGTTTGCTTGCGTCATTTTTCGGGGGTACCAGGGAAGTGGGGAAGGGTGGAGCTCTTTGAGGACACGATGCACGCTCTCGCGAGGGGTTCCGAGGATGTCATACGGGAGGCCTGGAATTGTGCGAGAGACATCCATTCCGATACACCGTATGCCCGCAAGGCGGTGGCGGGGGGTGCCTATTACGAGGGCGGGAAACAAGACGACATGACACTTTTGGTTTCTGTCATAGACCAGGAGAGGGACGCGGGATCTGGCGACCGCATTGTCCGTGGCGCCGTGATGAACCCTTATCCATACAGGGATTGGCCATGAGAAGGAATGGAGGAGGGAGATGGAAGTGTGCAGGTAAGAAGGAATGAATGGGCGAGAAGGGGAAAGGTCCAGGAGACGCCGAGAAAAGAAGAAATTGAGGAAGCTGAAAAGAAAAATGAGAGGCGCGGTCAATTGTTGTTGAGAGAAGGGCCTCCATAGCCAAGAGAAGAGAAAAACCAAAACGGGTGAAAAGAAACAAGGAAGAAAAGAGAAAAATTTTACAGGAGGACGTGTTTTGGACACAATTACGTTTGTGTTGGCTTTGAATTTTCTTGGTGGGGGGGCCGCAAAGGTGTTCTTCCGATGTAACGGTTTGCATAATGATATGCGTGCCCACGTTTTTAGATGTTTATTTTATTTTTTTTACTTTTTTACTTCCGTAGTTTGAGGTTTAACGGGAAAACGAAAATAATGAGGAAGCCATGACGTTGTGGGTGTAAAATGTGCACGTGCATGCGGCGAGTGAATGGTCACGAGAGACGAGGGGAAGGTGCTGCAAATTTTGTTTGTCTTCCCACCTCTTCTTATTTGGTTCTTGTTTTATGTTTTTTCGTGTTTCCCTGTTGGTTGTTTGGCATTTGTTGACTGCATTTATATATTTTTTTTCGTCTTTTATTCCATCTAGCGTCATCTCTTTTTTGGCGAGTGGGTGGGCGTTTCCCTGAAAGGAGGGGGAACGTACTGCCTGCATCGGACTACTTGTGGCGCAGAAGGGGTGGAGAGGTCGTGTGAGGGGGGATGAACGCATTGAGGATTCCCTCGTGTAGTGGCAGAATTAACACATGAGAGTTGAGCAAAAATAAAATAAAATAACCGAAGAGGCGGTTTACAATGGTTTTATGAGACCACGTGGTTTGTGTAACGTCGCCTTTTATTTCCTTATTTGTTTTTACTGGTCCTCCTGTTACGGCATTTTCTTTTTTTTTTTTTTTGCTGGGAATCCCCTTATTTCATCTCTTTATGCCTCATTTACCTAGCTGTCGTGCCCACTCACACTTACACCCACACAAATTTAATTGCGAGGGGCTGTAAGGGGTGGGGGATGAGTGGATGCGGTAGGAGACATCGCGCTAAACACCTCACGCTTCAATTTCTCGATGCTGACGGATGGAAGGGACCAGCGGCTGGTGAGTCGATGGCAGTGTGCATCGAGTCCCCGCAGAACCAACACGTGCGTGTCCTTCTATTTGGTCCCAACAGCACAATTAGCGGTACTGCCGGCAGTGATGGAGAAGTGAATGGCAATGGAGTCGCGTCGCCAGTGGAGTGTGTCGTCTTCGTCCCCGGCAAGTTTCGCAAGGTGATTTGGCTCGCTGTGAAGGACGTCATTGTGGTGGCAGATGGCACTACCGTCGCCTTCAAGCCGTCGCCGGATCAACTGAAGACTTTTTTCCGCGACAACCCCGAGTGGAAGTCACGTTTGTTAGCGGCGCAAAAAATGGTGGAGACGTGCAAGCCTGCAGTGGAACAGTTGCCACAATATACGAAGACTGCCCACACGACAACCTCCGTGCTGGACAGAGTCGGGGAGGAGCACTTCTCGAGCGGTTCCGCCAGCAGCGCGGGGGATGAGGAGAGGGGAGACATGAACCCTAACAGAAACAACATTAGGCACAGAACGCAACTTTTTTACGACAGCGAGGAAGAGGAGGAGGAAGAGGATTAAGCGAGAGTGCGTGAAGTCATTGTCTGTGCGGAAGGAATACTCTGATGGATTTGTCCTGAGTACAGCGATGTAACCGGTTAATGCAGTTTAAAAAAGGAAAAAAAGAAGAAAGGGGGAACACATGCATGTGTGTGAGAAGCAAAAAATGAAGGAGTAAATGCTGAAGTGGAAATCACGTCGGTGATTTAATGCACATACTCGTTGCCGCTTTGTTAAGGGTGTCATTTAGGTTTTGAACGCGTCGGCGGATGAGAAGCGATGAAGTGAAGGGAGTGGCTCGTGATAGTCCGTGCACTATTGGAGAAAGTTATTGCTTTTGAGGTGGTGTATTTTACTTTGTTGATTTTTTTCCCTATTTCTTGTCCATGTCTTTTTTTTCTTCTTCTCTTGAGAAATGGAGCAGACATGTCAAGGCGTTGCTTCCGATACCGTGGAGTCCCCATCCTCCTCCCTAGTTTTGTCTGTAGCTGATGCGTGGGCCAGTATACGAGCGTACTTTATGGAGGTGCAGGCCGCAGTGGAAGATGTTGCATTGGCTGAAATTGCTGACCGTCTGCCACATGTGACACACTCGTTGGAGGTAATACGGAAGGCGCTTCTGCAAGAACGGTCGCAGATGATGCAAACCGGGTTTGTACCGCAGGTAAGAAAAGTGGACACATACTGTGCAGACAGCGTCAGTAGCAAGAGTGACGTCCTCATTTCATTGCAGAGACCGAGTTTCAAGGATCCCAATAGCAGCAGCCATTTTGGAAGCAAAGCCTGTACCGATGGGGTTTGGCGACTGCCCCCGTGTTACACATTTCTTTGGGATGAGCCATTGCTTACGTCTCATGAGGGGGAGAACGCCGTGGACGAGGGGGAAATATCCCCTATTGGGGATATTTTTCTTTTTTCCTTGTGCCAGTTTGCCAAACACGATGATCCACCGGGTGCTCGACGTATCATACTTTGGTTTTTGTCTCGTTTGCTCTCGGAGGAGGATCTTCCATGTTTACCATACAGAGGAGATCCACCACGATCGCTGTTGCAGATGTTTCCTGGCAACACGGTTGTTCCACTGATGGATATGCTTCGTCAGGTGGCGGCCAGGCTTCGACCAAAAACAGTAGGCAAAGAAGACACCATGGGAATGTCTTCAACATCCAACACTCGAGAATCAAACACGGATGCGATGGAGGAGGAACGCGAGGCACTTCTTAACCTCTTGTGTGCATTGACGGAAAGGATGGAACAAGTTCCTGCGTTGGCCATGTTTTTTATTCCCGAAGCTGTGACAGATGCAAAGGAAGAAGTAGACTTCGAAACAAACCCCGAATCGCCACCGACTGTTGGTTCTTCTTTTAGTATTCTGCACGAATTGCTGGTTTACGCTACAATTCGGGGAGAATCCGTTCACCCCAGCAAACAACAAACGATTTATCAACTGGCATTGCGGGGACTGCTTAGTCTTGCCAAATGTCCTGATCCAGCGATACAGGATTATGTGAAGAAGCAAACTGCAGTGGCATCAGCAACTTTAATGGGGGCACGAACAACTCTCCTTACTTTATGCACAGTCCCTTACAACGATGACACTAACGCACAGCTCACTTACCTCTCTGAGTTGCTGCGTTTCTGGTCGCAGCTGATATTATTGTCCCCTGCTGTATCAGAGGCTTGGGGAGTAGAGGCAATGATCGAAAGTAGTTTTGTCCACGGTGCACTTGTGCCGCTGTTTTGTTCAGCAGAAGAGAAAGTGTACGCTGCCGCCGCTCTTGTGACGGCAAGAACTGTACGTTTTGTGGGCCGATCGCCTTCTTTTTACGTTTCTGCTGTGACGCGGGCGTTGCTGGGCACACATATTGACCGTTTGAGTGGAAATCCAATGCGGTTGACTGTTACTCCCAGAGAGATGCTGTCTTCTTTACCGTCGACGGTGACTTTGCTAGAATACGTCTTGTTGCCGCATCTTGCAATACCGAGCGATGAAGACTGGAGCTGCACAGAGGTTACGTTGTACCTGCTAGATACAATTGCACTGTACGAACCGGTGCTATTTATGGAGTTTGCCCTTTCCCTGTCCATTTCCACACTTGCTGAGGTGTATGTGGAAGCGCTCCAACGTGCTCTACAGTCTGAGCCAAAAAATGCATATGGAAAAAGCACGACTGTTACTAGTGATGGAGATGATACTTCTGTTACGAATTCTTTGCCAGACAAGGCGAGAAATGCAGAATATCTTCAACAGTTGACGTCTGAGTTGGAACTTTCCGCCGCTGAAACATCCCCATATCTGGATGTCACGGAATGCTTTTCTGCACGTTTACGAGCTCCGAGGGGAATCATGCTATGGACCAACGCAGAGACCATTGCGGAGGAAATCCTTTCCCGTCTGCTGCTAGTGGAGAGTCATGTTCCTGCGTGCATTCTTGAGAAGAGACAACGCATCATGAACCGTTCTTGCAGAGGTGTGGATGAGGAATTTTTGGAATCCGTGCTTGAAGGTAGTGGCCATAGTCAGACGCTCCAGGAAACTTCTTTTGCCTCGATGGACAATCAGGCCGCAAAAAAGGAGTCGAATAATATTTGGTTTCACATTGGGGTTCACCAATCGCCACTTGTGGAGCGTCTCTGTGAGATCACTTCCAAAATGTTGATAATTCCCTCCATTGTTTGCTCACTTTTAACGCAACTGTGGTCCACCATCTGTGTCTTGCCGGACTTTCGTGTCCTGTACACTCTCATGGACTCTAGGTACGGCCAACTCCGCCAGGCCTTGTTTAAACTGCGCGACACCATTGACGAGGGACTTCAACACGACGAAGACGTGGCATTTGCGCTTGCATCTGCAGCGGCAGCTGTCGCGGCGAAAACGAATATGAAGACGGAGCTTGTCGATGTGGGGTCGCAGAATAAGCTTCTGGCAGAGAGCAACCTTTCCATTGGTAGTATACACACCACTGCTTCTCATTTGTACACACGCACATACCTGTACTTTCAGTTTATTCAGCTTGGAAATTCGCTTTGCTGGGTGAGGGACATCGTTGAACAGGAGTTTCCTAACCAAGAACTGCTTGTTGCACTCAAGAAACATCGGCATTTTCTCGAGGCATGCGCGTGTGTGGAGGCGTTTCGCATGGAACTGGACGCAGCGATTGGCCATGTGACCCTATCTCACAGTCTTATGTGCATTAAAACTGGGAAGGAGCACGCGAAAAGGAATCTTCATGATATTTAGCCACAACACCCTGAGTTGTGTTTGCTGTTTTCTCTTTAATTATTCTTCTTCAACTTGCGTGCCGTGATGGTGGTTGTCGTGGATTGGCCCAGGGGCAGAAGCCCTTTTCTTTTTATAGTGTACTGTTCCTTTGCATTTCTTTGGTGTTTGTATTTTTCTTCAGGGGTTTCAATTTCTTGCTTTTTTGTGTGTTTTTTATTGTTTGTCTCTTCTTATCATTTGAACGTTTTTTGTTTTTTTTTGGACTGCTTTTTTTTTGTTTGTCGCGTTCGTCATGGGGTTTGTGGGGGTGGGGGAAAGGGGGAAAATGTGCGTCGAGGTCAAGCAAGGCGGGGGTACATGCGTGCTTGAGCTAGATGGTAGAACTTTGACGTTTGAGAAGTTTCGTGAGTGTTGTCTCGAGCCAAACGTTCCGGCCGTTATTCGATGTGCTGTTCCCGAATGTGAGACGGGCTCAAAAGAGGGTTTTGTTTCTTGTTTAGAACGTATGACGTCACGGCTTGCGCCTATGAGCCTCATTGACGCATATGGGGAAGGTCATCATGTGCCAACAGTGGAATTCATGACTGGAACAAACTCTGACTCTGACCAATTTGAGTGCATGGAGTGTCGTATGAGGCCATTGGGCGAGGTCATGGAGTGCTGGCGTCGGAAGGATGGGGTGTTGTATTTGAAGGATTGGCACATGCAATTGGAGTGGGAGTCCCAAGGGAGAGCCACCGAAAGAACTTCAGTTGAGAAGAAAGCAATGATCGATGGGTATCATTGTATTGTGCATGGTGATGGTCTTTATCAGGTTCCTGAATACCTGGGCCATGATTGGATGGATGACTTCTGCCGCTGCTTGGGAGGTGGCGAGGCAAATTATTGCCATTTTGGTGACACAGAGAGTGATTATCGTTTTGCATACATTGGGCCGCCCTCCAGTTGGACACCCTTGCACTTTGACGTATTTGGAACATACTCCTGGTCATTGAATGTGTGCGGGGAGAAACTGTGGTTTTTTCCGTCACCGGAAGGTAACCAGCGACTTTTGGAAACTAGTCTTTATGGTCTGATGTTGCCCGTTGACATTCGAACCACTACAGGCACTGAGCTGTGGGCGGTACTGCAGCGTCCAGGAGATCTTGTGTTTGTGCCCAGTGGATACCTGCATCAGGTTCATAATGTGAGTGGTCCACGATTTCTTTTGCCTCCTAAAAACACCTTGCGACCTGACGACGGAGCGAATCCCAAAAAGGCCAAGGTGTTAGATAATGACGACACCGGGAGCGTTTCTTTGGTGATTTCCATCAACCATAATTGGTGCAATGAGTGGTGCGTGGAACGAATGGTGGAGGCCTTCTGTCGGGACGCCAATCGATTACAACGACTTTTGACTGAAGAGGACCGCGTCCTGCTTTTTGGTGAAGATTGCACGGCGTGGCACAAACACGTGGAAAATTTGCTGATTGGAGGCACAAACTGGAATTTTGCCTGCATTCGTAGTTTTTTGAAGCACAGGCTTGCCTGCCTCAGCATTCAGAATGATGGAAAAGGTGCCGAAGTGGGGTTGAGACGTCTTCTTAAAAAATGCCTTGCGGAGGTTGATGCTGTTGAGTTGCGCATCACTCACACTTGCGGAAGTTGAGGCACTGGTGTTTCTGTTGTTGCGATTTATTTTGTCGGAATACATATATATATATATATATATATATTAATGTGTGTTTTGTTTCTGCCACCTCCACTCTTTTGTTCCCATTCAAGTTTGTTTGTGGGTTTTGCGGACGATCAACAAAACTACTTTGACTATCGTTTTGATTTTGTTTTTTGCTTGTTTGTTTTTGCCGATGCTCCTTTTGTGGCGTGTTAGTTTAGATACGCTTATTGATCATGGCGTCTTTTTGGGAATTGGTACGGGATTGGGCAGAATCCCTTCATATTCCTAATTTTCTGCAAAGCTTTAGTGGCGGTGTGCGCACCACCTTTGTTCCTCTCTTTGCACGACAGCTGGGATCAACGGACAGCCAACTGGGGTTCATAATTGGTTCTGCAGGAATTGTCAAGGTTGTCTTTGATATGTTCTTTGCATTTGCCACTTCAGTCTATGGGACTCGTCTCATGATGGTCGCCGGCATGCTTCTAAATGCTCTTGGTGGTCTTGTTGCTACGATGGCATGGTCCCCCTTTGTGCTTGCCCTCGCGTCTATGCTTTGGGGTGCTGGCGTGGGCTTATTTTTTGTGGCTCGGCATGTCTTTATTGCAAAAGCAGTTCCTCGTAACATTTGTGGCCGTCTTATGTCTGTTGTTGGTGGCATTGCACGCTGGTGTTCCGTCTTGGGGCCTGGTGTTGCCGGAGTACTGACGGATATCTGTGATATTCGCGTAACCGCCTTCTCTATTGTGCCAATGAGCCTTGGATGCGCCTACATGATGGCAACAAATAAGAGGATACGTGAGGTGGATGAAGGGATTCGTGAAGAAAAGGGTACACACAGCATTTCGAAGGAGTTTCATGACATGATGCATGTGTTGCGAAATTACTGGGAAATCATTGTACGTGTTGGCTTTTATTCATTGATTATTATCTGCTTGCGCCAGTGTAGAGGGATGTTATTGGTAATTGCGGCAATGAATATGGGGCTTTCATCTTCTATGGTGGGTCTGGTCTTGGTATCATCATATTCAGTAGATGCCACTTTTTTTTTCTTGGGAGG